GATCATTTTAAATCAGAGGAATATACGCAGCTCGTTCAAAAAGTGAGTGGAAATCAGGCAAATTTTCCTGATCTCAGGGCGGATAGCGGATATGTTTATCGAAAGGCAGAGCATTTGACAGGAGAGCAAGTGCACGACGAATATGCTTGGAAGCTGTGGGTGCCTAAGGAACTGGTGCCTGAGATACTTTCTCGAGCTCACGATAGCTCGTTGTCTGCTCATGGCGGAATACACAAGACAATTGAGAGAGTCAGGCGGTATTATTTTTGGCCAGGACTCGTGGCAGATGTCAAAGCCTACATCAATGCTTGTGAAGTGTGCAAAACAACGAAAGCACCAAATTATGTTTTGCGACCACCGTTAGGGAAAGCACCAGAAAGCCAACGATTTTTCCAACGCTTATTCATAGATTTTCTCGGACCTTATCCCCGATCTAGAGGTGGAAATATAGGTATTTTCATCGTGCTTGATCATTTTTCTAAGTACGTTTTTCTAAAGCCCGTAAGAAAGATCGACTCCAGTGTCGTTATAAAGTATCTCGAAGGAGACTTATTTATGTCGTTTGGTACTCCTGAAACGATTGTTTCAGACAATGGGTCTCAATTCCGGTCGCATGCATTTCAAAAGTTGATGCAGCAATATACTGTTACGCATACACTGACGGCAGTACATTCGCCTCAGGCTAACGCCTCCGAGCGCGTTAACAGGTCCGTCATCGCTGCAATTAGAGCGTATTTGAGGCCTGATCAAAAGGACTGGGACGAACACCTAAATAGGATCAGTTGCGCACTAAGATCGTCCGTGCATTCAAGCCTGGGTACTACACCCTATTACATGGTTTTTGGGCAGCATATGGTCAACTCCGGGTCCACATACTCTTTGCTGAGGAAGCTCAACCTTTTGGATGATCGATCCTTAAAGTTAAGTCGTCAAGACTCGTTTGACGTTGTGCGGGAGAAAGCATGTAAGCGAATGCTGGAGAAACACTCCGAGAACGAAAAGAAATACAATCTTAGATCTCGAGTTGTGTCTTATGCAGTGGGACAAGAAGTGTTTAGAAGAAATTTTAAACAAAGCAGTTTCCAGACCGGATATAATGCTAAATTTGGACCTTCTTTCGTGAAAGCAAGAGTGCGAAAGAAATTAGGAAGCGCCTACTACGAGTTAGAAGACTTGCAAGGAAAACCCGTAGGCACGTATCACGCGAAAGATATTCGCCAATGATCTGGCTTCAGTCGGCATCAGTCTAGGGTACCAGTGGTATGTATACCCTAGCCAGATGTTACCGGGGGCTTTTGTAGTGGCGACTGAAGACCCTGCCACGGAAATCAGCCTAGAAGGATGCTACGCTTTATGTGAAGCCTAAGCCTAGCTTCGCCAGTTTTGGCGATCACGTAAAGGTGGTCAAGCGACTACGTAACAAAGCTTTGAGCAAGCTTGCACGTGCCGTAATGTAGAGCTGCATTTAATTAAAACGCGTTTTGGCATATTTAACAGAGAATTTACATTTGCTCTGAAGACGAAGAAGAGCGCATTTGCCAATTAGGAAATTTTTTCAAGCAGACTTTCCGTTTCCGTGGGAGGTCTTTTTAAATCAAGGTCTAGAAGAGCATAGACGTGTCGGGTGCTCGTAATTATCAATAAATCAGACAGTGGCAGTGAATCGCGTAAACCAAGTGTTGAAGTGGCCGCTGAAAGCTTCGCAGAAAAAGTGAGTAGAGAAGTGCCAAATTTGTGGGGCACAGTGAGTAACCTTTTTGTTGCCCAGGTTAGGAAAACTAGAAATTGGAGGCAGCAAAGCAGCGTCGACGCACGGCCAGGGCCAAAGGTCGACAAGACCTTTCGCCAAGGGAAAATCCCTTAATTTGTTACCAGGGCTCAAGCCAGCGGGTAATTATGAAAATAGAGTGTTTGTTAAAGGCAGTGCTTACTGTTTGAATGGAAAAATTTACAGATTGGGCCCTGCAGTAAAGAGTCAAGTCCCTAGGCAAGGTGTACCCCTAACCTGAGGGGATGAAGTAGAGAAGCTACAACCAGCGCAGGAGGAGCCGATCCCCAGGAAAAATCAGGCCAACAGCGCGGATGCGCAACTCATCTCTTGGCCAGCTTCGTGTCGGGAAAAGCGATTAATTCTTTTTTTGTGAAAATTTTGCTAACCTCGCGGGTTAACCTTGACCTGACCCCTGTGTTCTAACCTCCTCCTAATGCAAGTGAAGAATAATTTTAAATAGGGTTTACCCTTAAAGCCCATTTTGGTTACTTTTTCTTCTGAGATTTGTGCGAACAATTTGCTCTAACAAAGACAATGTGATTAATGGCCCAAAACATTTGTTAATATTGGCCTTTGAATTTAAAAACTTATGCTCGAATTATGCTCTCGATCTGCTTGCGTCTAGCCGTGAATTTAATGAAGCCGAATAATGAAAATTTATGCTGAATTTCCAGTATTTTAATTTAATTTATTATTAATTTAGTTTTTTTTTATTTTTACACCTTTATTTTTTTACTTCAAATTAAGTTCCATTGTTGCATAGCAAAAGAATAATAATATAAGAAAAATAGGGCCATTCGGACTTTAACCCCTTTTTTCCAGAGAAAAGCTTCGAGGGAGATCGATCTTCGCCGATGGAAAATTGAGTGAGTCTAAAAAAAACCATTCGAATGAAAACATGCAATTGAAAAAAAAATGAAAATACTTGAAAACTTAAACCATTTAAAAATGATTTAATTTAAAATATACAAAAATAAAATCTCCATAAGCTAATGCAACAATTGAAATTGAAATTGAAATGAACTAAAGACATGAAGTAAATTTATTTTTAATAGTTAATAGAAAAGAGAAAACATGAAGTAAACGAACATTTAATAATACAATTTAAATTTGATTTAAACTTTTAAGAAAAATTATTTCTTTGAATTTTGTGCACAATTTTTAAACACATATATGTACATCTATGCACCTCCTTACATTTTTACATTTTAATTTTAGCTTATATTTATCTTTGTTAGCTTTAAGTATTGAATTAATTTTATTAAACAAGTTTTAATTTTAAAAATCATGTTAGCTTAAAAACCGGTATATACCGACTCGTAGGATGACTCCACGGTCGTAGGGTCCTGAAGGGATCACCAGAGCCATGCTCTTGCGGCAGGTGATCGTAGGTTGGGTGGGCACAAAGCGAGCACAACAACATCTGTGTCTCTGCATTGTATAGATTTTCTCTCTGTCTTCTCTTCTCTCCACTTCCGCTTTTCTTCTGTCTTCTTTATGTTGTGTGAATTTTGTTTATCATTTCTTCCGGTTTTGTTCTAGCTTTTATTTTGTCGCAGCACGCTCAATTCTAGTCTTTGTAATAATAATGTGTAGTCGTTGTCCGAGATCTGGGTGAGCAAGACCTCCACCCCCAAAGCCGACGAGCTAGAGCCGGAAAAATAAAGCGTGCCCCAGCAGCCCAGATCCTCACCAACCCCGACGAACTTTATGGTTGCACGCTACAAAATATCTTGCAAATCTCTTTGTTTGCTTATTTTGGTTTGCTGTTTAAAACTAAATACGAATTCATTGTATGCATATATCAACTGTTTACAAACATTTAAGGTAAATTTTTGCACGTATTTTTTATTTAATTAGAAACACATTCAATTACTGTTTTTATTAGTGCATATAATATCACTAGGAAGGACTGCAACTAAAAAACCCCTATATATATCTTGGGCTCCTGCAGCATTTAGTGCAACTCAAATGAAGCGCATTAGGTGAATGTGCACATGGCCAAGGACAGGGCCAAGGAAGTGGCCAGGACAAGGAAAGAAGGGAAGCTCTGTGGGAAAAAGGCAAACGGGATCTCCTGCTCTCCATCTCTGGCTGCCATCATATTGGCCTTTTTCTGTGTCCGACTCTAAGTTTTGTTGGCAATACAAAAGCATTTTGCATCAGCAGAAGGATAACCGACCACCGGGGAGCAGCAGCTGAAGATGGGAATGGAGATGGAGTAGCAGCCGAAGCCGGAGCTGGAGAGCAAAGCTGGCAATGTCCTGAGCCGCTTTACCAGGAGGTTTCTCCACATCTCTTTCAATCTCACGGCTCCCCGGGTTCAGCTCAGTTCAGTTTTCTGGTTTGGTCGGTTTGTAAGCGGCTTATCGTATTGAGCGCTCGCAAAGTATAGATTTTGCTGCTGTGAATACTTTTTAATGGCAAACAGAGTGGAGACGATTTAATCAGCAGTATTATTTATTATACATTTCGCAGGGAAAAACTTTTTCTCGGTTTCAACTTCTTTAACTCTCTACATCCCTTTTTTTATAGTTATTTGCTACAAGAAACTGGGGTAAGAAACAACTTCTGGGGGAACTGTTCTAAACTGCAAATGGTACTGGGGAAAATATATATATCTAAGTACTTCTAGCTGAACAAACTTTAAAAGGGATACATATTTCCAGGAAGAAATCAAATCAAATCAGAAAAAGAGCATAGAAAGTGTGAGGGAATAAATAGCTCAGTAAATGATTGTGGTATTAATTTTGATAGATAGATTTTGTAGGCATCAATAATTGTATAAGAAGATTTACCCAGGTATTGTGTGGAAAGATGTAAAAATAAATTTTAAAGATATTTTGCCAATTCAATCAATTTGTGAAGGCACAATTCAATTATAAAACTGAAGGGGAGATGTAGCAAAAATATACAGATACATCAAAGACTTAAATGGAAAATAATTGCCAGCAGATATGGGAAATGCAATCCTAAGCCTGTTTAAGTATTTTATTTATTTATTTTTTGGTAACATGCTGGGACTGAAGTTTTGAGCTTATTTAAAGGATGAAGTGGAGTATATTTTTGGGGGAGTCCAGTTTGAATTTAGATTTCATTCAGCCAATCATTTTTTGGGGGCGACAGGACGAGTACAATACACAGTTAGCAACAGTTAACGTGCAACATGCCAAGGCATATATGGTATGTCGGAGATGTCCTCACGGTTAGATCGAACGGATATATATATATATAGAGAGGAACGGAGGGATATAGTTCGGAAGCTGCAAGCAGCAAGCATTCGTGTCTTAGTTTATGGTTTATTTTTCCGGCAGGCACATAAACGAATTACCAAAAAACAAAAAGGATTTATGCATTTTTTCATTTTGGGTTTTATTTTTTGGTTGTTTTTAGATTTTGGCTCACCTAGAGCTGGGGCCGGTATGGCACCATCTTTGGTCAGTACAACTGTGTGGGGTGTTTGAGAGAAAACAAAATGAAAATCATATAAATAACGCTGGTCAATCATCATCATCATCATCATAAATATCATTATCATAAATTGTTATCAATAATCAAATAGCAGACGCATTAAACATAACTTAATTGAAACCACAAAATACGCATTAATTTAATGTATATTAAATATTATTTGGATGTGTTTTGTTTGAATGGTTAGGCAGCCGCAAACCCCAAGAAAATAAATCACTAAAATACGATATATACTAAATATATAAGTATATGTATATTGAATATGGTTTTCCCGCAAGTTAGTGGCATTTATCGAGAGTTAACAAGTTTCATTTTTTGTTGATTGCTTTCAAGCATTAACACAAACACAAAACGGTGGAAATTACTAGCGTGTGTGTATGTGTTTTCTGCCGCAAGGGAAAATGGGAGGAAAAACGTAACATTTTCATTAGGAAAACGTACACACACATTCGTGGCATTCTTGCTGGCAACTCAATTTCTCAGTTTCAGTCAGTTTCAGTTTTGGCCACCAAAGAAGTTGATGTGAAAAGTTCCAAAACAAACAAACAACAAAAATACAAAAAGGAAAACAATACAAAAAACAACTAAAACGAAAACTTAAAGAATGTTAAGAAACTAACAATAGCAGCAAAAACAATGCACACTTAAATAGAGCTGACTTTTATTGTTATTGTTGTTGTTTCTAGTTTTGTTGTTGCTGCCATTGCTGTTGCATTTCATCGTAATTGCATTTCTTCGGCGAACATTTGAACTTGTTTCATTATGTGGCTTAAACTTAGCGCGTTGCCATGTGGTTACACGGAGAAAAAAGCCACTACTACTTAAGGTTACAGAAAACTCTGTAGTTAAGAACCTTTGATTTTCTTTTAATAATATTAAACAAGTTTGTCCCAAGGTTACTTTTTTTTGCTATGGAATATTTTTAATTGTGAAAGTAATTTAATTCCAATAAATTCTTAAATCAAGAGTTCTTCTTACTTAATTCTTAATTCTTTGTGTTGTATAGCATGTGCATGTGAATATATTTTAATATGTGTTGGAATGTATTTTAAAGTGTAATTTGTGATAGTGTGTGTGTGTTAGGGTCACTTACCGTTGGGTACTGTTGTCACTTTTTTGGTTTGTACACGTGCAGTGGCGTTATTCACCTTCACAATTGGTTATTGTATTTTATATTGATATATAGATTTTTTTATAGATCAGCGAGCGTGGTTGTTGTAGTTGTTGTTGTTGGTGATGAGGTTTTTTTAAGATTTTTTTATTTTTTGTTTATATCATATACACACACATAGCAGAGTATAGATATATATATATAAAGATCGCATGTATATAGAGAATGTAGAAATAAATTATGTGTTAGTTAAAAATTACGAAAATCTTTTGCAGTTTGTGTTTAAAATGTGTTGGTGTTGGTGGGAAATATGTAGGTGTAGGAAGGGGATTTTCTTCTTTTTTTTTAATGGTTTTCCCTTTGGAAAAATAAAAAGGATATTTTATAGAGAAATAAATAAGGTTTCTCTGGCGTTTTTGTAACCGGAATAAAGGACTTTTTTGGTTGATATCAAAGCTTACCACTTTAACAAATAAAAATTCTATGAAACGTATTTTTTTTCGAAAAATTTATAACAAAGAGTAGCTTGTCAGGGATATTATATTATAAATCGTACAAATAAATATAACAGAAATGCATTCAGTTTCAATTTTCAGGACCTTTTCAATGGAATAGCTTTCATATCTCTGCCGAAATTTTATTAATTCTCATTTGTTTCGATTACAAGAAAAAAATGTGAAAAATTAATACTCGAAGGCTTTTCAGCGTACAAACGTCAGAGGATTGTGTGAATGTGCATTTCCGCATCCGGTTGCAGCCAGAGAGACAGAGAGAGCGAGACTTAATTAGACTCGCGCGATTTCCGCTGCCATTTGGCCGACAACGAAAATGGAAATAACATTGCAATACTCGCGGATGCCTTTTATGCGGCTCAGTTAATTTGTTTAACCAACCAACGGCGGACAAGCGAAACTTTTCCGCGTACTTTGCACATTTTCAGCATATTTTAAATGGCAATTATTTGCGGCTTGCCAGTGAGCATTAATCAGAAAAAAAAATAAAAATAAAAGGGAAAAATGCGAATAAAGGAGAAATGCGTAATTAATTTTTAATGAAAGGCAAATAAGAATCAATCACTGTGCGGTGCATGGGCTAGTCCTTGGATTAAATGAGTAAAGAAAAAAATAAAAAAAACAAAAGAGAAATGAGTTGGGTAAACAAAAATATTATTGAGCATTTTCTGACACACGCAAGGATTAAAAGTTGAAAAGCAATTTCAGTTCGCTACACTCCTGTTGTGATGATTGGGAATTGGTTAAGGAAGTGTGTGGTGTGTTTAAGTGTGTGTTTGGTGTGTGTGTGAGTGTTTGTTTGGTGTATATTGTTTGGGGTAAGTCGGTATATATGATTTGGCATGCACCCACCTCGATTTTGCGTCCCTCAACCACGGTGCCGTGTAGACGTTCGCGTGCTCGTTCTGCATCGTTGCTGTTAGCGAATGTTACAAAACCGAATCCCTGCCATTCGCAATCAAACATGCAATTAAAGAAACATATAGAGTATATAGATTACGATTTTCAAAAAGGAACTAAATGGAAAAATAAAAAAAAGGTCAAGTAAGTAACGATAACAACAAAAGTCTTCTCTCGGGCTTGTTTTTGTTGAAGTCGTAGATATGGGGTATATATATTTATAAAGCTAAAGCTACAAAATACATCAACAAGGCGGCCAAGGACATGCTTTTTTCGGACAAGGGGCCATTGGCACACATCTCCTTCTCACACTCCGGGATTTTTTGGGTTGGCGACTGCAACATGCACGTGCCCTACATTGCACTCCCACCGCCCACCTGGCTCCTTTGCAACAACTCCTCCTGCTGCATCTCAAGGTGCTGCTGCTCCTGAATTATGCACAATTCCTGGTGCTACTATGGTAACTATGCAATTATTTTCACCCAGGCTCTGACTCCACAGGCTCCGGAGTCTCTCCCATAATAATGCTGTTAAAAAAGACAGCACAGCTCCACAGACAAGGTTGCCACGGCGACGCGGACAAAAACATCTCCTTGGAATACTTGAAGTGCATAATTTAAATGAATTGTGCGACAATTAGATGCAAAATGTCCTGCACAATTGGGCGGCAGGGCGGGCGCCAGGAGAGCGAGAGCTAAGCAGGCGGGGGAGCTCCTGAGCGCGCTTTTCGAGGATAAAAGTTTTTGGCACAAACTTACCTTGCTGCCGCGCTCGTTGAATATAATTTCCACATCCAGAATGGTGCCAAATTGCTGCGGGAGTAGACAAAATAATAAATATTAATTTTATAGCGGGAGCTGTCGTCGTCAAGAGGGGAAAATTCTCAAGAAGTCAATACTTCAAATTAAATAAATAAGACTAGAAATGATGAAGGATTCTCAAGGAGTCTATATTTTAAGTTAAACCAGTAGGGAAAATAACTTTGGAAAGACTAAGTTTATATACCTTTGCAGTTTGCAAATAAATTATTTTTTTAATTATATTTATTTGTTAAAATAACCAGTAATTAAGTATGATCAATAAGTATCAATGAACATTAAGTAACTCTGAATATCTATGACCACTGAGTAACTATGATCAGTAAGTATCAATGACCAGTAAGTACCTATGAACACTAATATACAATGACTTGCAACTTTTGTAACACAACACATTTCTGAAACTTGGCCGGCAGCAGTCACTTCGTTCCGGGGATGTTAGAACCCGTTGAGAATCATATGCACAGATGCGCGAGATGTTTTGAATCAAATTTAAGAGCAAGCTATTTGACTGAAACTATGGAGTTATTCTTCTATATAATTTTACTGGTATATAAATCGGAGCATGCCGAATCGGTGGACTATATATTTATACATATATATAGCTGACATAGGAAAATCGGACGATTTATAGAACTATGATCAGTAATTAACTATGACCAGTAAGTATCTATGACCAGTGAGTAACTATGAACAGCAAGTACCTATGATCAGTAAGTATCAATGAATATTAAGTAACTATGATTAGTAAGTAGCTATGATTAGTAAGTAGCTATGACCAGTAAGCAACTATGATCAGTAAGTAACAATGACCAGTAAGTATCTATGAACACTAATAAACAATGACTTGCAACTTTTGTAACACAACACATTTCTGAAACTTGGCCGGCAGCAGTCACTTCGTTCCGGGGATGTTAGAACCCGTTGAGAATCATATGCACAGATGCGCGAGATGTTTTGAATCAAATTTAAGAGCAAGCTATTTGACTGAAACTATGGAGTTATTCTTCTATATAATTTTACTGGTATATAAATCGGAGCATGCCGAATCGGTGGACTATATATATATACATATATATAGCTGACATAGGAAAAATCGGACGATTTATAGAACTATGATCAGTAATTAACTATGACCAGTAAGTATCTATGACCAGTGAGTAACTATGAACAGCAAGTACCTATGATCAGTAAGTATCAATGAATATTAAGTAACTATGATTAGTAAGTAGCTATGATTAGTAAGTAGCTATGACCAGTAAGCAACTATAATCAGTAAGTAACAATGACCAGTAAGTATCTATGAACACTAATAAACAATGACTTGCAACTTTTGTAACACAACACATTTCTGAAACTTGGCCGGCAGCAGTCACTTCGTTCCGGGGATGTTAGAACCCGTTGAGAATCATATGCACAGATGTGCGAGATGTGGTTTGGAACAAAATTAAGCTATTTGACTGAAACTATGGAGTTATTCTTCTATATAATTTTACTGGTATATAAATCGGAGCATGCCGAATCGGTGGACTATATATATATACATATATATAGCTGACATAGGAAGAATCGGACGATTTATAGAACTATCTGTAATTAACTATGATCAGTAACTATCTATGACTAGTGTGTAACTATGATTAGTAAGTATCAATGAATATAAAGTACCAATGAGCAGTAAGTCACTCTGAACAGTGAGTATCTATGACCATTAAGTATCTATGAGCAGTAACTATCTATGACCAGTAAGTATGTATGATCAGCAACTAACTTTGAACACTAATAAACACTGACTTGCAACTTTCGTAACACAACACATTGGCCGGCAGCAGTAACTTCGTTCCGGGGATGTTAGAACCAGTTGAGAATCTTAAGCACAGACGTGCGACATTTGTTTTGGAACAAATGGAAAAGCAAACTGTTTGAATAAAACTATGGGGTAATTCTTCCATATAATTTTACTAGTATATAAGACGGACCATGGGGAATCGGTGGACTACATACACACATTCATATATATGTTATATATATAAACTCTTTCTTCAGCTGAAGCTAGTTTTAAGAGAAGTATTTTAATTATAAATATTTAACCTGAATGCTGATGTATAAATAGTTTTTCTACTTGTTTCGTTTGACTAATATAATCAGAAAAGGAGTAAAAAATTACTCATAAATTTATAAGCGACTATTTCTATTGATATATATATCTAGTTTTAATAATAACAATAAATCAAATGTTTTTATTTTCATTACTTAATGCCCTATGAATAACCCTTCTTTTTATTGCTACTTAAGGTTAATTCTTCACTCACCCCAAACATGGCTCTTAGATCGGGATCCCGGAAGCGAAACGGTATATTGGAGACATGCAGCCGCTTGGGCTGACTCTTGGCATCAAGGGAGGCTGCGGCGGCAACGGCGGCGGCCACCGAGGGCACCGACTGGGCCGGGACTAGGGCGCTGCTGAGACTAGTGGCCGCTGCTGCGGCTGCTGCTGCTGCGGTGGGTGACTGCATCGATGTTGTCATAATGCCACTGGCCGCGGCAGCAGCTGCATTCAGATGGGCAATAACCTGTGATGTGCTGGCCGGCACAACGCCCCCATTGTTGGCACCATTGGCCATGCTATCCAGTCCGGTGGTGGGCAGAAGGCCAACACCGCTGCTGCTTGTGGCTGCCAGGGCACCGCTTGATATCGAGCTGCCCGTGACCGATGTGGCGGCCGATTGCACGGATGTGGGACTGCTGCACAGGAGTGGCTGCTGCTGCTGTTGCTGTTGCTGCTGTGCCTGCTGCTGTGCCTGCTGCTGCTGCTGCTGCTGAAGGGTGGGCGGCGTCTGCAGGAGCGGTTCACCGCTGGCCACCGGCGATGTATTACCCGACATGCTGCCCTCGTTGGCGCTGCCATTCAGGGTCAATCCGACGGCGGCAGCTGCTGCCTGCTGTGATGCGCTGGACGGGGAGCTACTGAGCGGTGATCCGGGCGTACCGCCGCCACCTCCTCCACCGCCGCCACCTATACCGGCGGAGCCAGTGCCGCCGGCGGCGTTGGCCATCGCGGAGCTCTGTTGGGAATCTGCTGCCTCATTGGCGATCAATACTGTGGACTGCAAAGAGAAGAGATCAAATATAAATTAATTGGTAAGTAAATCTATTAATTTAAACTATAATTATTTTATGTAAACAATTACAAACACTTTTCCTTTAAATATTTCTGAATTTTAAAGCTTTTAAGCCAGTTTATAGAACACACAAACTAATTACTCTTCAAAATTTGACAAAGTAATTTCCCAATCCCATTTCAATTGCTTAAAGTTCAGCAAAAAATCGCGAGTTTTTGGAAAAGTATTTGAGTTGTGCAAAAGGTACTCAGACTTGTTTGCAGTTTGCCGTATTTTTTCGCTGTTGAATTTTCAGTGCTGCCTGGCAAATCGAATGCGAACAAGTGCCGCAATAAATAAACAATTGAAATGAAAATACAATTTTCAAGTGGTTTACATTCCCAGAGCAGATGGAAATCCTGTGGGAAGGGCGCAAAAGCGGGCCACGCATCTGTGGTGGTAGTGTGTGTATGCATGTGGAGGTATGACCCAATAAAAAAGTTACACACACAATTGGGACAAGCAGACAGACATGACGGTGGAAGGGACCTGGAAAACCCCATACGGACACTCCCTACAGCATGCACTGAACAACAATTTAAAAAGAATATTCATAAAAGAGATTCTAGATTTGTTAAGTTATAAAGTAATCATGAAATAATCAAACGATTAGGTTAGGTTCTAAAAAGCTGCTTTATTTTAGGTGAATTGTATTTAATCTTTATAAGAAAAATGGTAGATAGAAGACCCTAAAGTCGAAACCTTCTAAATCTTTCTCTCTCTATATATCTCTTGCTCGCTATCAATAATTCGAATTTCAGGGGAATTTATGTAGTTTTCTTTCACATTTTTTCCCAGTTTATCCCTACATATTTTGTGGCACAAACTTGTGTTGACTTATGCAATAAAACTGTCGCGCAAACTGTTGCAATATACCCAATCCACCGCAGCAGCAGCAGCAGCAGCAGCGGTGGCGACAATGCAATGCAATCCCCATCGAGCCCGCGGAAATGTTTGCATTTTGTATTTCTGCATTATTAAAACTGAAAATGCACTGCCATGGCAGGATATTATTGTTGGTTCACATCGCTAACCCCGCTAGCCCAACCCAACTATCTGCAGGAATAATATGAAAAATTCGCAATTCACGCAGGCAAAAACAGATCGAAGCTAAATTCGATGACAATGCAATAAAGGCCAAGCGAAAAGAATTGCGTTTGCCCCATAATGTAGGCAATAGAAATAACGCTTAACTTAATTTGCTGCGCATTGTTGACACATAAATCTAAACAAATTTTTGTGTGTTCCCAGGTCCTGTTTGTCCTGACAATATACATTTTTTTTCCTAGCTGCTCCTGCTCGCTGTGCAGTTTTTTTTTCTTTTATTCCAGGTTTGCATGTTTACCGAACATTTCGGTCCCAAAGTGAAATGGCGTGAAAAACTTTGGCCCCATAAATGGCCAACTGGGCGGAGGCGGTTTGGTTTATTGTTTCGGGTATCGGGTTACACGTAAATGACATTTAACGCTTTTTAGTTTATCGAAATGCCTTTTGTGCGGCACGCGACATTGCTGGAGAGAACAAAAAACAGGAAAAAGGTCGCCTAGAGAGCTTTGATTCGCCATCAAGAATTTCTGCATAAATTTGAAAAGTTTTTTTTTCGTGGCCCACCAAAAGGCAAATAGAATTTTGTTTGGAATTATTTTCATTTGAATAAATTTTTTCCTAGGTTATTTTTATGTGAATACTTTAGGTGGCTTTACGTGCAAAGTTTTGGCTGAAAATCAGATTACAATTCGTTAACTTGATGGGCTTTATCTTAATTATATTTTCGGTATTAGCCTTTGATGGTGAATAATGGATTTTTGGAATAAAATTATACAGGGGAAATATGATAAAACGTGCCAGGAAAAGGCTTTCGGTGGTGAAACAAGAAACAAGAGTAGCCGAAGTTTTTAGACACTTGCAGTTTTCAATTAAAAAATCATAACAATGCTTAAAAAAAACACATTCTTTGAATCAATATTTTCCACTATTTTTATTTTACATTTTTACTGAAAAATTAATAGTTAAAAATACTCATAACTAGGCAAAAATTGCATTAATTTTTTAAATTTTTTGTCCAGAGATAGGTATATCGATTCGGCTGTTCATGTTTATCAAGAATATATATGATTTTTAGGGTTGGAAATGACTCCTTCACTGTGTAACAAGCTTCTAACTATAATACCCTAAAATGTTTAAAAAATATCCTCAATAAAGATAAAATAACAATAATACAAATGAGAAAATTTACGTATTTTTAATGAAATCCAAATCCTCTTGTATTATTTCTTAAGCTCACACCCACAGCTTGAATTTAATTCCCTCGACTCAATTAATTAGGAAAAACTTGGCTAGCACAAAAAATACAAATAATAATAAATAAAAAAAGTTTACCCTGATGATGACAATGCTTACTAAGGGAAAATGCAACTACAAAAGGAGTTCAAGTTGAGAGGCAAAAAGCAGCTTTTTCCCATGGCCAGTCAGTTGTTGGTCGCCTAATGAAGATGAGCGTGGCAAACAAATAGGATAACACAAAATGGGAAATGGAAAATGGGTGAAAGAAAAACATGGTCCGAAGACCAAGAAAACCGGCACGTAAATTTCAATTGTGTGTGCCCTGAGAGCCAGTTCGTCTCTGAATATTTTCCGTTTTTATTTTCCGGTTTATTTTATTATAATTTTTTTTTGTTTTTTTTTTATTATTCTTGTGCTTGGTAGCTGGAACAACACTCACTATGCTGAGCACATTTCGTGGGGGCAGCAGCGATGATTGCAGATGCTGGTTTTCTGGCGACTGCTGCCGCTGCACTTGGTCCATGGCATGTCCATTTGTCAGAGATGGCTGCAAAATGGGACTGCCTGTGCTGCTGGTGGTGGTAGTGATGGTGGGAAGGACTCTCGGTTCTGCAAGGCTGATTCCATTGTACGACGGGTTCTGTGTTTGTGTTGACAGATTTGTCTGTGATAAATTTTCAGATAACAACAAGGATTTGCGTTTTAGTTGCAGTCGTAGTTCGTAGTCGTGTGGAGGACGTGGATTAAGAGATAAAGTGTGGAGAGACAGACAGGCAAGGCAGGACCAGGAGGCGGCGACCAACACCAACAATTTGCTTAAATGGGTAGCTTAATTTTTGTACTCCCTCCACAGTTTTTTTTTTTTGTATAGTTGCTTAATTGCGTGGAACATGCCTTGAATATATAGTTACATCTGTGCCATGTTTAGAAAATAGGTTTTAATGAATCAAACTGCACAAAGTTGTGACTTAAAAGTCACCATTCCTTGGCTAAATACTTGTAATGTTAAGCTACAGAAATACATATAAATTCATATACCATTAATGTACAATTTATTATTGAATTTGTTAAGTAACTCCATATTTCACACTCTTAATTGTTTTAAACCATTCTACATTTATTAATTTAAAGCTTTCAAATGCTATTCCTTCATCTCAATATCCTATACCTCCATAATTAATGCTTTCTGGTTAAATTATATGCACAATTTTGACAGTTTTCCTCATTGTTATTGCTTTTGGCAAATTAATATTGATAAAGTTCGAATTGAATCAAATTTTCTCCTCAATTGAAAGACGAACGGATGAAGGAAAATGTTCGTTTGTTGACAGAACAAACTGATTGCCCATTCAAGTTGCATAATCCTTGTGAATAAGCCCCTTAAGATGGCTTTAGTTTAAATTTCCTATATTTTTGCACCTCATTTGGTTTTATTCACACACATAAATTCTCTTATTCATGTTCAAGTATTAAATTAATTGGCATTTTCGATGCATTTACGCCGTGGGCTCAAGCAAACACAATAATCCAAGGTAACTTTTTCAAATGGTACAACATTGCGTATGCGTAATGTTTGTATGAGGTCGAAATATGTTATTTAATTAAATGGGAAACTCAGTTGATAGGTGAAAAAAACGAAAACAAAATGCAATCCGTATTTATATCAATTAATTCAATATTTCTTTATATATATATTACAACTGCAAGGCATTTGTGTGGTTCTAAATCTGTTTTTAAAAACCTGCCAACTCTCTCTCTCTTTCTGTTAAATTATTCAAATGCACGAATCAATTTTCATAAGCAAATATCTCTCGGTCAGTAAACCAAACAATAGTTGGTATTTATTCAAATGGTTAGACCGAAAAGTACAACGAAAGCAGCTGCTTGCAAATTGCTGCTAAGCTGGTCAACAATATAACATATACATATATGTTTTAATTAGATTTGTGGCCAAGCTAGAAAATGCAACTGATTTCGGTTGATAGCCGGAACTTTGCCCAACAACAGCAGGCAACAAACAGCCATGGTCAATTTTTAATTAAAGCAGAAGAAATAAACAATAAACAACAAAAGCATAGGAAAATATCCCTAGCTACAGGAGAAGCAGCAGCAACTAAAAGTATGCTACAAAAACACATCACAGCAACATACTAAGAAACAAATTCAGGTGGCAGGGATCAGGGGTCAGGGGTCAGGGGTCAGGTGAGTGCGTGAGTGTTGTTTTGTTCCCGCTGGCACTCTTTCCTCTTTGCTTTGCTTCAGCGTTGCAATTAAAATGTAAAAGCAAAGCGCCCGCAACACCAAAAACAAATGCAGACTAAACACTAGCAGGTGCAGCAGTGATAACATACACCAGCCTCCTATGTTAGCTCAGGTCAGGTGTGCACTTAGCAAAAAAAATGCCATAAACTTTAAGTAAATTAATTAGAAATAAAAGGAATGCTTTCGGAGAATTTTAAACTAGTTTTCTTATCAAATTTTAAATTATATCTCAGAGAAATCAAACAAAACTTGAAGAATCTTTAGCTTAGCAATATTAAAGAGATAAAATAGAATAGAATATAATTTCGGATTCTAAAAAGGTGTAAATTACATTATATTATAAATTATAGTTTCAAAATACAACAAATATGTACTAAAATAAATCATTTTTCATTAAAGAAATGTCTAGAAAACTCTTTTAAAAGTTTTTAAGAGTATTCAATAAAATATTTTACATGAAAACAAGAAGTGCATTTAAATATTCATACTTTATTTCAAATCAAATTAGAATTTTATATCAAGGAAATGATTTGAAAAGTTCGAACTAATATGTTTAGTTTTGTTTTCTTTACCATGTAACATGTTGTGACATATTTTCATAACTTTTTGAAGGAATTTTGTGTATTAAAAGTTATTTTCCGTGTAGCCATGTTATGTTATACATTTGTATGCGTTAACCAAATCAAAGCAGAGCGCTGAAACCAAAGTAGACCGAAACCAAACCAAACTAAACCAATGCGAACCGAAGCGAACCCATAAGCCAAAACCAAACATTGCTACAAATACCAATACCAAACACGGACACAAACCAATGCAAACACAAACATAGAATGAGTTAGAGCGAGAGGGGTGAATGAGAGCGTTATAATACAGAGATTTAGTGGCTCTAACTAATTTTCTTTTGACGGGAAAAACTCACCTTCTTCTGCTGCATGTACAGGGAGCAGACAACATCGGCTGATGATGCTGCACCGCCGCCGGGTGAATATTCTGTGCTCAATCCTCCACCGCCGGATCCTGGCGCTCCTGTCACTGCTGTATTGCTGTTGCAGTTACTGTTGCCGCCAGCAGCTCCTGTTCCAGATCCTGCTCCGGCACCATCGCCGGCGGTCTGGTTAACTGGTTCAGCCTGCTGTTTGGCAGCTGCCGCAGCCACTGCCAGCGAGAGGCTGTCGGCGGCACTGGTGGCTCCACCGCCTACACTGGCACCGCCCACCTGTTGCTGCTGCTGCTGCTGCTGCTGCTGTTGTTGTTGTTGCTGCTGCTGCTGCTGTTGGGCGTGCTGCTGCTGGGCGGCGGCCGCCGCTGCTGCAGCCGCTGCCGCTGGACCTGGTGCGGCGGCATAGCCGGCCGGAGCGCCCGGGAAAGGCGCCACGCCCGCCTGCACCATGTGCTGCATTTCCGGAAACAAGTCACAAAAGTAAAGAGAGATCGGGGAAAGAGAAGCAGAGAGAGACAGAGAGAGAAATAGAGAGAGAGAGAAAGATGGGTTTATGGATTAGTAATGGTCGTAAAAGTCCAAGTATCCCCCAGAATGTGCACTCAAAAAAATGCAAAAGAGACATCAGCCATAAAAAATGGCTGCTAAATAAATGACAGTAAAAAAATTTAGTTACACGCCGAAGATTTTATATTAATAAATAAATAAACACAAGTTTTAAATTGATTCGAAATCTCTAGGTTAATTTTTGGTACATAAACAATGTCGCCATTAATAAATCTATTGTTATGTGTTTCCACTAAAATCTTCTTCAAATATAACTATAATCTTTTTAGCAACTTTTTTTAATGTATACATTTATTCTTTATACATTTTACATTCCATTATTTAATGAACAACACAATTGCGATACAAATTTCCAGAAAAGTTGCATTTATTAACCTCTGTTCTAAATAACAAAAATCTTCAATATTCCTAGTTCTTTTGGACATTAAAAAGTTATCACAACCTTTTATCTATTTAAACTGAAAACAAACTACCTTTAAAAGTAACTTTTTCAGTTAAAAACAATCTTTTCGAGTGCACATTTAAAATGAACATTATGAGTATTAGTATTTTTTTTTTTCTGGTGACACTTTTCATACTTCTTGCGCTTCCATTTTTCACCCCGCTTAGCATTTTGCTATTTGTGTATGTGTCTGGGCTATCTGAGCCATAAAAGTGCAAAATTAAATCCAGGTAGTTTATTTTGCAGGTGGTAACCCCATCGGGTCGTCCCAGGCCCAGAGCTTTCCGTATTAAGCTCTTGGGTTAGACAAAAAGGACACAAAGAGAGACACACACACACACACATAAAATGAGACTGTTAGTCGGGATTTTTTGGAGGATGTTTGTGGGGTTTTTAGGGGGCTAACAAAATGCGCTTTAAATTGTCAGTTTTATTTGTATAAATTTTTGCCATTATTTGGCTTGTCTCGCCCGGATTTCCAGGGCCCCACAACCTCTGTCAGCATCTATGAAATATGCAAAATTTGCAGCTTATTGTTGGTTGTAACTAAATACACACACATACACACTTTTCAGGAGCAGCAACAATGGCAGGCGAAACAGAAATAGGAAAGGATATTTGGGTGGCAAAAAGTCCTGGAACGGGATTATCGTTTGAGTGGCATTTTAATATGTTTTTTAGCCAAGGGAAAATTGTTGCCTTGCTGCATAATAAGACCCTTCTCCCAGCTTGCTTCGGTTACACGAAATGGTTATTAATTTTACAATTTAATGCAAATGTCAACGAAATGTTGGTGAAAGTGAAAGAGTTCTGAAATGCCTAATGCTGCATTTGACAGGAAAATATTTCTGTGTTATGCTGTTCAATTGCGAAAACAGATTTCAGTCGTTGCGCAAACCCAATTTAAAATTGGGTCCCGTTTGTGGTACAAATAAATGCATTTAATTAGCGTGTTTTATATAAATACCTGCAGTGATTATAAATACCCAGACGTTAAACTATTTTATCCGATGGACACAGTTCATCTATCTTGGCAAGCAGGCCATAAACCAGGTCTTTCAACGCGCTACAAATACTTATCGATGCTTTTGCAGATACACTGAGAGGAAAACGGGTTTTAAATTCCTAATTTTTTTGTATAATTTGTATACCCTTGCAGGGTATTATAATTTCAATCAGAAGCTTGTTATGCCGCGAAGGAGTCATTTCCGACCCTATAAATCATATATATTATTGATCAGCATCAGCAGGCGAATCGATCTGGCCATGTTTGGGAGAAAACAAATTTTTTGAATTTACTTTCGTAATTTTATGCCTAAATTTTATATTTTTAAATGGTAAAAATTTGACAAAATTTTAATATTCTTTAATTTTTAAACTCAGTATGCTGATTTATTAACCTTATAAAAACAAGCACAGAACAGCTTTCCGAATTGAAATTAATGCATTTTTGGCTTAGTTATGCATTTTTTAAACTTTGATTTGTGGAAAAAATTGTCATACAAATTTATCGATAAATATTAGCTCTAAGAATGTCATTATAATTTAAGTCTGACCCCTGTAATGTAAAAGAATCATTTGCGACCCTATAAATCATATATATTCTTGATCAGCATGAAAAGCTCAATCGATCTAGACATTTTCGGACAAAATTTATTATTATTTTTTTTTTTTTTCAAAATGTAGAAATTTTTATAATTGTCAAAAATTGATAAAAATTTTAAATTTTTTACATTTTATGTTGAGTATGCAGAATTATTAAGCTTATGAAAACTAGCAAAGGAACCTTTTCGAATTGAAATTAATGCTTTTTTGACTTAGTTATGAGTTTTTTTGACTTTGGTTCGTCGCAAACAATGTATTTTAAAAATCTATTCAAAGAATACGACTATGATTCAAGTTGTGATCAATTCTCGATTCGATTATTTAATTTAATTAACAACTGCAATGGTATATAAACTTCGGTTACTCTAAGTAACGTTTCTTTCTTTACTTAAAAACAGTTCTTGCAAAACTATATATATATAATAAAGATCTGGATGATTACTGGAGGATTTTTTTTGTTTTGTCACAGTTTTTTATTTGATAAAACATTTCTGATCTTAAAAAAATCTTTTTGCAATTCTTTAGAATCTTTCAGAACTCGAAAATCCACATTTTAGTAACTTATTTTCCCTATTTCCCTACTAATGCTTCTCTTCTCCTTGTGTAGCATATTATTTATTTTATTTATATATATTTTTGGCACAACCCAACCAATTGCAGTCTGCTGCTGGGGAAAATGCTATATCCTCCCTCGACCCGCTTCGTTATGGCTGGTTTTTCCTAGCTTCTCAGCGATTTGCGCTTTGAAAAATTAGCTTGTTAATTAAATGCAAGCCACACATATGACAAGTCGCCAAAGGTGCAGGTAGTAGCCACCATTACACCTTCCCTCCCCTCCTGCCTCCTCCTGTGTGTGTGTGCGCACTCATCTTGTGACATAATCTGCAGTGCAAATTGGTGCTCATGTTGCTCATCCGCCACGTTGGCCAACGCCAACCCATGATATATGCGCTTTGCTCTCGTATATACACATACGTAACGATATACGTAAATGTACAGCTAAACAGCGCGGAAAAAAATTGCAGAATTAAAAAAAAAAATAGAAACTTGTCATGTTAAATTTACATAAAATTTTCGTATGAGAATTCATTTTGATGTGCCAATGAAAATGTTTTCCTGCTTCTTTGCCCCGCCAGGCTTTTCCGACAGCTGCTGACGCACAGGGAATGAGAAGAATGAAAATGGGGGGGAATGAGAATGTGCTGACTTGCACTTGAGAGCCACCATGTTTCTCTTAATGAGTCTGTGTCTGGCCAAAGTTTTCCTTTAGCAAAAGTTCTGCTACCCCTTTAAACAACTCCCAATAAGTTTCCATAATTTTTGCTGTCAACCGTAGGCGGGGCTTACATCACAGCAGTCCTTCAAATACTTGGCTGCATTTTCACAAATATTTTTCATTTAATTGCTCTTCAACAGAGCGAGAGAGAGAGAGAGAGCAAAAAACTGGAAGCAGTTAAGTATTTTTTAATATTTTCTTTTCCCTTTTTTTATATATATATGTATATTTTTTGGGGCCATATTTACATGGCAAATATTTCGCTCGGCAGCAGCAATGAAAGTGGGTCCTGCCTGGCAATTTGCATTTGTAGGAGCAAAAAAAGAAAAGCATCTGCAGCATCGGCAGGAGAAATGTTCGGGCAGCTGGCACTGTTTTATTGACTGGGGCCAAAAGCGCCAACTGCCATCGCTTTTTGTTTACATTTCTGTGCCACTGCCACTGTGTTGTTTTTGGAGAATTTTCAACAAAACACTTTACGTTTTCCTATTTTTTTTTTTTTTTGCAACAATTTCAACTCGCGCTGCGCTTTCAAGTGTGGGCCTTTTGTCTCGAGTCGCCATTCGCCATTCGATTCTGTTTAAATATTAGAGCAATTTTCCATTCTCATTAAATATATTGCATTTTGGCAGCACCAGCACACGCTGCGTATGCGTTACGCGTTAAGTGTGTCACACATTCCACGGGCGATGATTGATGGGCGCCGAAAAAAAAAATGCTAGTGTATATATAACATAAATAATGAAAAGGAAAAATGCGTTGAAATATTTGTGGGGGAGAATGTGAAAAAATACAGCTTGGAAAATGCATTTTAAATGAAATAAGTGAAAAACTGGAAAATTGGTACTAATGGCAAGAAAATAAAGCAAAAGAGAGTTTTCTTTATGGAGATTTTTTTGAATAAATGCAGCGATTGGCTTAAATTATGATATATTTTAAAGAATATTTCACAAAAATGCAGTGCTTTTAAGAGTTTATGGTTATTAAATTGTTTGATGAAGATATTTTAAAATAATTATACAAATAAATAAGCTAGATGAATTGCTATTAAAGCAGGAATGTTATATATTTCTTTTTTGAACTAAAAACCTTCCATATTCCTTACAGCCTGCATTGTTTTTCTTTTAAATTCCTGCCCAAATATTTAGACAGAAACTAAACAAAAACCCCAAAGGCGGCTGCCACACTTGTCAGAAGTCAAACTAAATTATATGTGCGGTGGTTTCAGCCGCATTACATCAACGGAATATTAATAAACCGTGACGTGAGTTGCGAGTGAAAATATTTCGTTTGTACTTTCCAAACCAAAAGTCTTTTTTTGAACAAAACGGCCACGTGCGTCAGTGCCCAGTCGTTGCTGTCCGTTCCGATTGGCTTTAACCAGTAGCACCAGTACCACCAGTACCCATTACCCATTACCAAATACCATATTCCTAGGCCGTCCAATGATTCCCAGTTTGAACCTGACACAGTCAGAAGGCAAGTTGACCAATTGCTCAATCGCTGACGCAATTCAGCGATCGAAGCGCCAATTTTGGTCGTCGCCGTGGAGTAGTTGTTGCC